CTATCACAAGGACCAGTTTATATTGGCTTGGATCTAATAGGTATTTACTATCACATGGACCAGTTTATATTGGCTTGGATCTAATAGGTATTTACTATCACATGGACCAGTTTATACTGGCTTGGATCTAATAGGTATTTACTATCACATGGACCAGTTTATATTGGCTTGGATCTAATAGGTATTTACTATCACATGGACCAGTTTATATTGGCTTGGATCTAATAGGTATTTACTATCACATGGACCAGTTTATATTGGCTTGGATCTAATAGGTATTTACTATCAAATGGACCAGTTTATATTGGCTTGGATCTAATAGTTATTTACTATCACATGGACAGGTTTATATTGGCTTGGATCTAATAGGTATTTACTATCACATGGACCAGTTTATATTGGCTTGGATCTAATAGGTATTTACTATCAAATGGACTGTCTATATTGCTTTACATTAGATTTGGTAGACTGACTGTACCATGTGTACATGGTAGACTGACTGTACCATGTGTACATGGTAGACTGACTGTACCATGTGTACATGGTAGACTGACTGTACCATGTGCACATGGTAGACTGACTGTACCATGTGTACATGGTAGACTGACTGTACCATGTGTACATGTATTTTAAAATTTTTGGGCAGATGATCAATATGAAAATGGGATTAAAATTTTGAAATAAGAGTGCACATGCTGAGATGTTTCACATGCTTTACTTATCATGATTGAATAAATGTTGAAAGTGTGTAATATGATGGTATAACTATAATTTTCAAATAAAATTAAAATTATCAGCTATCATTGTCAATGAGGTCAGATGAACCCTGCAAGACCTTACAATCATACCATACACCAAATATAGTTAAGCTATGGCTGTTGATATTGAAGAAACAGTCCTAAATAGGAAAATTGAGAATGGGTCAATGAACCATGAAAATGAGGTCAAGGTCAGATGAACCCTACCAGACAGACATGTACACCTTACAATCATTACATATACCAAACATAGTTGGCTTATTGCTTATAGCATTTGATAATCAGACAAAACCATGAAAACTTAACATTGACAAATGAACCATGAACATGAAATCAAGGTCAGATAAATCCTGTGAGACAGACATATACATGTTGCAATTATTCTATACACCTAATATAGTTGACCTATTGCTTAATTTGTATCTGAAAAATAGACCAAATCATAAAAAAGTAACATTGACCAATGAACCATGAAAATGAGGTCAGTAAGAAATGAATGAATATATCATAGTCATATGATAGTAACCTAATCTTGATCCCTGATCCATGAAATGAGGTTGAGGTCAGGTGAATCCTGTCTGACCTTGTAAAGGAACCCATGTACCAAATATAGTTATCTTATTACTCAAAATAAGTAAGAAATTCACATTACAAAAAAAATAAAAGAACAGAGTTCCAATGTCCCCCGTGTGGCACATATTTTATCTGTCCAAGGGCAATAACTTAAAAACAAATTTTTTTTTAATTTCTTGGAGAAATGAAGACTTGAGAGCAAATGCAATGCAATTTCCAATATAATTAATGTTTCCAAGGGGCATAACTCTTTTAAAAAAAAATGATACACACTGATTTGTGAACTTGTCCAAGATATTGCTGATATACATGTAAATCTATGATATAAGTTTCATAAAAATCTGGCAAGCATTGTACACATGAGAGCGCTAACAATGCAATTTTCCTTATAATTAATATTTCCAAAGACCAAAACTCTTTTAAAATAATTGATATTACTGATATTAACCTATAATATAAGTTTTATAAAAATCTGGCAAGAGTTGTACTGGTGAGAGCGCTAACGAGGCCATTTTCCATAAATTTAATATTTCCAAGGGGCATAACTCTTTTCATAATAGTCGATCATCTACCTATTAATAAGACTTGTCCGAGATATTGCTATTATCAACCTATAGTATAAGTTTTATAAAAATCTGGCAAGAATTGTACCCATGAGAGTGCTAACGAGGCCATTTTCCTTAAATATAATATTTCCAAGGGGCATAACTCTTTTTAAAAGAGTCGATCGTCCACCATTATACAACTTGTCTGAGATATTGCTGAAATTAAGCTATAGTATAAGTTTTATAAAAATCTGGCAAGAATTGTACCCATGAGAGTGCTAACGGGGCCATTTTCCATAATTTTAATATTTCCAAGGGGCATAACTCTAAAAAAAAAAGAAGTTTATTGGTCACCATTATACAACTTGTCTAAGATATTGCTGATATTAACCTTTAGTATAAGTTTTATAAAAATCTGGCAAGAATTGTGCCCGTGAGAGGGCTAACAAGGCCATTTTCCAGAAATTTAATATTTCCAAGAGACATAACTCTTTTAAAAAAGTCGATCGGCCACCATAATAAAACTTGTCCGAGATAATGCTGATATTAACCTATAGTAAAAGTTTTATAAAAATCTGGCAAGAGCTGTACCTGTGAGAGTGCTAACAAGACCGGACGGACGGACAGACGCCCGGTATTTCTATGTCCCCCGCAAAAGCGTTTGCAGGGACAAAAATGTTCAAGCAGTTGCTGAACCATGAAATTGAGGTCAAGGACAATGGACATATGCCAGAAGGAAACTTCGTACCATAAGGCATATGTATACAGTGTATGTAGCATTCAAGTCTTCTGACCTTCTAAAATATAACATGTATAAAGCTCTAAACAATTAGTTTACGCCATTGCCACTCCCGACGCCGAATTGTAATCCCTATGTCTCGCATTCTGCATCACAGAAGAGACAAAAAACATGTATACTGAACAGAGTTTTAAAAAGTCTGGTAGAGTCTTGGAGGCATTAGTTTGTATGTGGGAAAATCAGCCTTACTAATGTCATCAGCTATAGATGGTTTATATCTGGTTACTATAGTTACCTACATGACTTATGACCAGTGAAGCATTACTAATGTCATCAGTTATGGACGGTTTATATTTGGTTACCATGGTTACTATAGTTACCTGCATGACTTATGACAAGTAAAGCATTAGTGCTGTCATCAGCTATAGATGGTTTATATCTGGTTACTATATCATGTATAGTTACCTTCTTGACTTATGACAAGTAAAGCATTACTGATGTCATCAGCTATAGATGGTTTTTATCTGGTTACTATAGTTACCTGCATGACTTATGTCAAGTAAAGCATTACTGATGTCATCAGCTATAGATGGTTTTTATCTGGTTACTATAGTTACCTGCATGACATATGACCAGTGAAGCATTACTAATGTCATCAGCTATGAATGGTTTATATCTGGTTACTATAGTTACCTGCATGACTTATGACAAGTAAAGCATTACTGATGTCATCAGCTATTAATGGTTTATATTTGGTTACTATAGTTACCTGCATGACTTATGACAAGTGAAGCCTTAGTGCTGTCATCAGCTATAGATGGTTTATATCTGGTTACTATAGTTACCTGCATGACTTATGACCAGTGAAGCATTAGTGATGTCATCAGCTACAGATGGTTTATAACTGGTTACTATAATTACCTGCATAAATTATGACCAGTGAAGCATTACGAATGTCATCAGCTATAAATGGTTTATATTTGGTTACTATAGTTACCTGCATGACTTATGACCAGTGAAGCATTACTAATGTCATCAGCTATAGATGGTTTATATCTGGTTACTATATTAACCTGCATGACATATGACCAGTGACTCATTACTAATGCCATCAGCTATAGATGGTTTATATCTGGTTACTATAGTTACCTACATGACTTATGACAAGTAAAGCATTACTGATGTCATCAGCTATAGATGGTTTATATCTGGTTACTATAGTTACCTGCATGACTTACGACCAGTAAAGCATTAGCGATATCATCAGCTATGGATGGTTTATATCTGGTTACTATAGTTACCTGCATGACTTACGACCAGTAAAGCATTAGCTATATCATCAGCTATGGATGGTTTGTATCTGGTTACTATAGTTACCTGCATGACTTACTACTAGTGAAGCATTAGCAATATCATCAGCTATGGATGGTTTATATCTGGTAATTTAGTTACCTGCATGACTTTAGACCAGTGAAGCATTAGTGATATCATCAGCTATGGATGGTTTATATCTGGTTACTATAGTTACCTGCATGACTTACGACAAGTGAAGCATTAGCGATATCATCAGCTATAGATGGTTTATATCTAGTTACTATAGTTACCTGCATGACTTACGACAAGTGAAGCATTAGCGATATCATCAGCTATAGATGGTTTATATCTGGTTACTATAGTTACCTGCATGACTTATGACAAGTGAAGCATTACTAATGTCATGAACTATAGATGGTTTATATCTCGTTACTATAGTCATTGATAGTTACCTGCATGACTTACGACCAGTGAAGCATTAGCGATATCATCAGCTATGGATGGTTTATATCTGGTTACTATAGTGACAAGCATGACTTATGACAAGTGAAGCATTAGGCCAAAAGAAAATATATGTCTGTTTACGGTTACCCGACCGACCCTATTTTTGAGCGCCGACCCTAAGTTATTTTATTTCTGTCATAAAGTGAAAAATAAACTGAACTCGTGTCAAAAGCGAAGTTAGTGTTGCAAATAATATAAATCAATTGCCTGATACATCCCAATGTTCACAATCGTGAATATGACAGCTGTTTTAAGGAAATTCGCGACTCGTGTGAAGAAATAAACACTTTGCCGCCATTTTTTTCCAACCAATTACCAAGGGAAATAATCCAATCATTAAAAATACAGGTAAACTTGGCCCATGATCAACTTGGACCACAACAAGACGAAACCGCATGACTCAAAATCATGTCACAAAAAATAAAATGAAAAAATAGAATAAAATGGAAATACCGACCTACCTACCCTATTTTTTAAAAGTATGTAACCTTAAACAGACATACATTTTTTTTTGGCCTTAGCGACATCATCAGCTATGGATGGTTTATATCTGGTTACTATAGTTACCTGCATGACTTATGACCAGTGAAGCATTAGCGATATCATCAGCTATTGATGGTTTATATCTGTAATATTCTATAGTGAATCCTCTCACAGAACATTCTGTAGATGGATCGAAGGCACATCGTCCTATCTGTATTAATAGCTTGTTGTAACCTTTAGATTTCAAGATCTATAAAATGAAATTAACAATCATGACAATAGATAAACATGTTATAAATGTTTTGGTGAAGTACTTTCTGTATTTAGTCTATAGTTTAAGATGTTATAAATGTTTTAGTGAAGTACTTTCTGTATTTAGTCTATAGTTTAAGATGTTATAAATGTTTTAGTGAAGTACTTTCTGTATTTAGTCTATAGTTTAAGATGTTATAAATGTTTTAGTGAAGTACTTTCGGTATTTAGTCTATAGTTTAAGATGTTATAAATGTTTTAGTGAAGTATTTTATGTATTTAGTCTATAGTTTAAGATGTTTTAATGTTTTAGTGAGGTACTTTCTGTATTTAGTCTATAGTTTAAGATGTTATAATGTTTTTGTGAAGTACTTTCTGTATTTAGTCTATAGTTTAAGATGTTATAAATGTTTTAGTGAAGTACTTTCTGTATTTAGTCTATAGTTTAAGATGTTTTAATGTTTTAGTGAAGTACTTTCTGTATTTAGTCTATAGTTTAAGATGTTATAAATGTTTTAGTGAAGTACTTTCTGTATTTAGTCTATAGTTTAAGATGTTATAAATGTTTTAGTGAAGTACTTTCTGTATTTAGTCTATAGTTTAAGATGTTTTAATGTTTAGTGAAGTACTTTCGGTATTTAGTCTATAGTTTAAGATGTTATATATGTTTTAGTGAAGTACTTTCTGTATTTAGTCTATAGTTTAAGATGTTTTAATGTTTAGTGAAGTACTTTCTGTATTTAGTCTATAGTTTAAGATGTTTTAATGTTTTAGTGAAGTACTTTCTGTATTTAGTCTATAGTTTAAGATGTTATAAATGTTTTAGTGAAGTACTTTCTGTATTTAGTCTATAGTTTAAGATGTTTTAAATGTTTTAGTGAAGTACTTTCTGTATTTAGTCTATAGTTTAAGATGTTATAAATGTTTTAGTGAAGTACTTTCGGTATTTAGTCTATAGTTTAAGATGTTATAATGTTTTAGTGAAGTACTTTCTGTATTTAGTCTATAGTTTAAGATGTTATAATGTTTTAGTGAAGTATTTTCTGTATTTAGTCTATAGTTTAAGATGTTATAAATGTTTTAGTGAAGTACTTTCTGTATTTAGTCTATAGTTTAAGATGTTATAAATGTTTTAGTGAAGTACTTTCTGTATTTAGTCTATAGTTTAAGATGTTTTAATGTTTTAGTGAAGTACTTTCTGTATTTAGTCTATAGTTTAAGATGTTATAAATGTTTTAGTGAAGTACTTTCTGTATTTAGTCTATAGTTTAAGATGTTATAAATGTTTTAGTGAAGTACTTTCTGTATTTAGTCTATAGTTTAAGATGTTTTAATGTTTTAGTGAAGTACTTTCTGTATTTAGTCTATAGTTTAAGATGTTTTAATGTTTTAGTGAAGTACTTTCTGTATTTAGTCTATAGTTTAAGATGTTATGTTTTAGTGAAGTACTTTCTGTATTTAGTCTATAGTTTAAGATGTTATACATGTTTTAGTGAAGTACTTTCTGTATTTAGTCTATAGTTTAAGATGTTATAAATGTTTTGTGAAGTACTTTCTGTATTTAGTCTATAGTTTAAGATGTTATAAATGTTTTAGTGAAGTACTTTCTGTATTTAGTCTATAGTTTAAGATGTTATAAATGTTTTGTGAAGTACTTTCTGTATTTAGTTTATAGTTTAAGATGTTTTAATGTTTTTGTGAAGTACTTTCTGTATTTAGTCTATAGTTTAAGATGTTTTAATGTTTTAGTGAAGTACTTTCTGTATTTAGTCTATAGTTTAAGATGTTATAAATGTTTTGTGAAGTACTTTCTGTATTTAGTCTATAGTTTAAGATGTTATAAATGTTTTAGTGAAGTACTTTCTGTATTTAGTCTATAGTTTAAGATGTTATAAATGTTTTGTGAAGTACTTTCTGTATTTAGTCTATAGTTTAAGATGTTATAATGTTTTAGTGAAGTACTTTCTGTATTTAGTCTATAGTTTAAGATGTTATAAATGTTTTAGTGAAGTACTTTCTGTATTTAGTCTATAGTTTAAGATGTTATAAATGTTTTGTGAAGTACTTTCTGTATTTAGTCTATAGTTTAAGATGTTTTAATGTTTTAGTGAAGTACTTTCTGTATTTAGTCTATAGTTTAAGATGTTTTAATGTTTTAGTGAAGTACTTTCTGTATTTAGTCTATAGTTTAAGATGTTTTAATGTTTTAGTGAAGTACTTTCGGTATTTAGTCTATAGTTTAAGATGTTATAATGTTTTAGTGAAGTACTTTCTGTATTTAGTCTATAGTTTAAGATGTTTTAAATGTTTTAGTGAAGTACTTTCTGTATTTAGTCTATAGTTTAAGATGTTATAATGTTTTAGTGAAGTACTTTCTGTATTTAGTCTATAGTTTAAGATGTTATACATGTTTTAGTGAAGTACTTTCTGTATTTAGTCTATAGTTTAAGATGTTTTAATGTTTTAGTGAAGTACTTTCGGTATTTAGTCTATAGTTTAAGATGTTATAATGTTTTAGTGAAGTACTTTCTGTATTTAGTCTATAGTTTAAGATGTTATACATGTTTTAGTGAAGTACTTTCTGTATTTAGTCTATAGTTTAAGATGTTTTAATGTTTTAGTGAAGTACTTTCTGTATTTAGTCTATAGTTTAAGATGTTTTAATGTTTTAGTGAAGTACTTTCTGTATTTAGTCTATAGTTTAAGATGTTATAATGTTTTAGTGAAGTACTTTCTGTATTTAGTCTATAGTTTAAGATGTTATAATGTTTTAGTGAAGTACTTTCTGTATTTAGTCTATAGTTTAAGATGTTATATATGTTTTAGTGAAGTACTTTCTGTATTTAGTCTATAGTTTAAGATGTTATGTTTTGTGAAGTACTTTCTGTATTTAGTCTATAGTTTAAGATGTTTTAATGTTTTAGTGAAGTACTTTCTGTATTTAGTCTATAGTTTAAGATGTTATAAATGTTTTAGTGAAGTACTTTCTGTATTTAGTCTATAGTTTAAGATGTTATATATGTTTTAGTGAAGTACTTTCTGTATTTAGTCTATAGTTTAAGATGTTTTAATGTTTTAGTGAAGTACTTTCTGTATTTAGTCTATAGTTTAAGATGTTATAAATGTTTTAGTGAAGTACTTTCGGTATTTAGTCTATAGTTTAAGATGTTATATATGTTTTAGTGAAGTACTTTCTGTATTTAGTCTATAGTTTAAGATGTTATGTTTTGTGAAGTACTTTCTGTATTTAGTCTATAGTTTAAGATGTTTTAATGTTTTAGTGAAGTACTTTCTGTATTTAGTCTATAGTTTAAGATGTTATAAATGTTTTAGTGAAGTACTTTCTGTATTTAGTCTATAGTTTAAGATGTTATAATGTTTTAGTGATGTACTTTCTGTATTTAGTCTATAGTTTAAGATGTTATAATGTTTTAGTGAAGTACTTTCTGTATTTAGTCTATAGTTTAAGATGTTATAATGTTTTAGTGAAGTACTTTCTGTATTTAGTCTATAGTTTAAGATGTTATACATGTTTTAGTGAAGTACTTTCTGTATTTAGTCTATAGTTTAAGATGTTTTAATGTTTTAGTGAAGTACTTTCTGTATTTAGTCTATAGTTTAAGATGTTATAATGTTTTAGTGATGTACTTTCTGTATTTAGTCTATAGTTTAAGATGTTATAAATGTTTTAGTGAAGTACTTTCTGTATTTAGTCTATAGTTTAAGATGTTTTAAATGTTTTAGTGAAGTACTTTCTGTATTTAGTCTATAGTTTAAGATGTTATATATGTTTTAGTGAAGTACTTTCTGTATTTAGTCTATAGTTTAAGATGTTATGTTTTGTGAAGTACTTTCTGTATTTAGTCTATAGTTTAAGATGTTTTAATGTTTTAGTGAAGTACTTTCTGTATTTAGTCTATAGTTTAAGATGTTATAAATGTTTTAGTGAAGTACTTTCGGTATTTCGTCTATAGTTTAAGATGTTATATATGTTTTAGTGAAGTACTTTCTGTATTTAGTCTATAGTTTAAGATGTTATGTTTTGTGAAGTACTTTCTGTATTTAGTCTATAGTTTAAGATGTTTTAATGTTTTAGTGAAGTACTTTCTGTATTTAGTCTATAGTTTAAGATGTTATAAATGTTTTAGTGAAGTACTTTCTGTATTTAGTCTATAGTTTAAGATGTTATAATGTTTTAGTGATGTACTTTCTGTATTTAGTCTATAGTTTAAGATGTTATAATGTTTTAGTGAAGTACTTTCTGTATTTAGTCTATAGTTTAAGATGTTATAATGTTTTAGTGAAGTACTTTCTGTATTTAGTCTATAGTTTAAGATGTTATACATGTTTTAGTGAAGTACTTTCTGTATTTAGTCTATAGTTTAAGATGTTTTAATGTTTTAGTGAAGTACTTTCTGTATTTAGTCTATAGTTTAAGATGTTATAATGTTTTAGTGATGTACTTTCTGTATTTAGTCTATAGTTTAAGATGTTATAAATGTTTTAGTGAAGTACTTTCTGTATTTAGTCTATAGTTTAAGATGTTATAATGTTTTAGTGAAGTACTTTCTGTATTTAGTCTATAGTTTAAGATGTTTTAAATGTTTTAGTGAAGTACTTTCTGTATTTAGTCTATAGTTTAAGATGTTATAATGTTTTAGTGAAGTACTTTCTGTATTTAGTCTATAGTTTAAGATGTTATAATGTTTTAGTGATGTACTTTCTGTATTTAGTCTATAGTTTAAGATGTTTTAAATGTTTTAGTGAAGTACTTTCTGTATTTAGTCTATAGTTTAAGATGTTATAAATGTTTTAGTGAAGTACTTTCTGTATTTAGTCTATAGTTTAAGATGTTATAATGTTTTAGTGAAGTACTTTCTGTATTTAGTCTATAGTTTAAGATGTTTTAAATGTTTTAGTGAAGTACTTTCTGTATTTAGTCTATAGTTTAAGATGTTATAATGTTTTAGTGAAGTACTTTCTGTATTTAGTCTATAG